TTTTTATTTTTGAGACAGGGAGAGACAGAGCATGAACAGGGGAGGGTCAGAGAGAGGGAGACACAGAATCTGAAACAGGGTCCAGGCTCTGAGCTGTCAGCACAGAGCCCGACGCGGGGCTCGAACTCACGGACCGCGAGATCGTGACCTGAGCCGAAGTTGGCCGCTTAACCGACTGAGCCAGACAGGCGCCCCAGAACTATTCCTTTCAAAATATGACCGCTCGTTGACGGTGCACCTGATCACCCAAGGGCTCTGATGGAGGTGGACAAGGAGATGAACGTTGTTTTCGGGTCAGCTAATACAACACCTATCCTGCAGCCGCGGGTCAAGGAGTAATTGTAACCGTCTAGTCTTACTACTGAAGACATACATTTTGTAAGGCTTGGCTGCCACGGACAGTGATTCCTCTGACGGATCTGGGTAAAATCAATCGACTGAAAACCTTCTGGAAAGAATTCACCATTCTAGATGCCATTAAAGAACATTTGAGATTCGTGCGAAGAGGTCAAACTATCCACGTGAACAGAAGTTTGGAAGAAGTGGACTCCAGCCCTCAGGCAGGACCTTGAAGGGTTCAAGACGTCAGTGGAGGAAGTCACTGCAGATGTGGTGGAAACAGGAGGAAAACCAGAACCAGAAGTGGAGCCTGAAAGAAGGAGCTGAGTTGCTGCACCTCAGGAGAAACCTGAACAGATGAGGGGCTGCTTCATTTTTAAAAAAATTTTTTAAATGTTTTATTTATTTTTGACAGAGAGAGAGAGACAGAGCATGAGCAGGGGAGGGGCAGGGAGAGAGGGAGACACAGAATCCGAAGCAGCTCCAGGCTCCGAGCTGTCGGCACAGAGCCCGACACGAGGCTCGAACCCACGGACCGCAAGATTGTGACCTGAGCTGAAGTTGGACGCTTAACCGACTGAGCCACCCAGGCGCCCCGACGAGGAGCTGCTTCTTAGGAATAAGGCAAAGAAGGTGGTTTCTTGAGATGGGACCTACCACCGGTGAAGGTGCTGTGAAGACTGTTGAAATGACAGAAGTTTCTAGAACATTCCATACACTTAGTTGACAGAGCAGCAACAGGGTGTGACAAGTTCTGTGGGTAGAATGCTATCAAACGGCACCACAAACTACAGAGAAATCGTTGGTGAAAGGAAGAGTCGATCGTTGTGGCAAAGTTCACTGCTGTCTTAAGAGGTTGCCACGGACACGCCAGCCTTCAGCAGCCACCAACATGGAGGCGAGACCCTCCACCAGCAAAAAGATCACAAGTCCCTGAAAGCTCAGACAATGGCTAGCATGTTTTAGCAATAAAATATTTTTTAATTAAGGTACATACACTGTGGATTTTCGACATATTGCTACTGGACATGTAACAGATGACAGCGTGGTGAAAACACAGCCTTTACGTGCACTGGGAAACCAAAACATTAGACTCACTTTTTTGCCCCCACTGTGTCACGGAGGCCCGGAACCACACCTGCGATGTCTCCAAGGTGTGCCTGTATGTACATACAATGGAATATTATTTAGCCACAAAAAGGAACGGAATTAGGACACGTGACACAACACGGCAGAACCCTGAAGACTTTACGCTCAAGTGAAATAAGCTGGACCCAGGCAGACAGACATTTTATGATCCCACTTATACGAGGACACAGTCAAATTCAAAGTCAGAAGGAGAGCAAAGGATGCCAGAGGCTGGGAAGAGGGCAGTTAGGGACCGAGGAGACCTTGCTGAATGGGGACAGAACTTCGGTTTGGTATGATAAAAAGTTCTGGAAATAGACACTGGCGGTGGTTACACAACATTGTGAGCCACCGAATTCTACACTTAGAAACGGTTAAAATGGTAATTTTATGCTTACCATTTCTGTCTATGTGGTAAGTTCTGCCACAATTAAAAAACACTTGAAGAATTACAAATAAAAAAAGGACGAGTCTTCATTTTGTAACAGGCACTAGCACATTCAAAGGTCCCCTCGTCCTGCACGTGGAGACGATTTTCAGGTGTGATCTCTCCGAGCAGAGGGGCGCCGGTGAGCACTGGGGACAAGTCCTGCGGGGACGCAGGTGCACCGGCGGTCTCTCAGCCCTGCACCTGACCCTGGGCTGGAGAAGTATCAGAGACTTTCCACCGGCCCCGTCGCTCCGCCTTCTGAGCCTGCGTACTGCCCACGGGGTGCTGCAGCCAATGCTGGGTCTGCGCCACCCCGGGGCCTACGCCCAGACCCCGCTCTGGCCAGATCTCGGGTGGTCAGATCTGTGTCCCAGGAGAACACAGAGAAAACTCTGTCTTCAGAGCTCCTCAGGAAGCTGGTGAGTCTACAAAAGTATCTCCCGACTTTTCCAGCACATTCGTGTCATGGCAGTACGGCTAACGGCAGGTCTGGCGGAACCGGTGAAACGGCAGATTTACAGCTCTCCGGGAAACCCCTCCTCGCCCCGGTCTGCCTGCCTGCCTTGTGCGGGTTTCCTTCAAGCCCCAGACTTGCAATGCTCTGCGGGGCTCCCCAATTAATTTTAAACCCCCCTGAATAAGTGAAAGGCACAGGGATATATAAACATCCAGGGCGAGGACTCCTTAGTCCACTCTGCGCCACGGGCAGACCCAGCTATGAAACACCGTCCTCAAAGCCACAGCACCGTCTGCATCTGAACCAGGACCTCTCAGGTCCATGGGCACGAGGGCTGCTCTGAGCACCCGTGGGGGGCAGGGGCAAGGGCTGGTTGCGGGCCTGGGAGGCTCCAGGCTTTTACAGAAAATACTGACAGCACCAAGGGAAAAAGAATGAGTTCCTCAACTTAACAAGGGAGGGATTCTTTAAAAGCTAAATTTAAAAATATATATACCATTTTACTGCTTTTGTTTCTGGTTTTAAATTCACAAGAGACTTCAAACACCGCCAAGTACATGCTTTTTTTTTTTTTTTTTTTTTTTTTTAAGTAGGTTTCACACGCAGCACGAGGGCCAACATGGGGCTTGAACCTGAGATCAGGACCTGAGCTGAGATCAAGAGTCAGATACCTAACCAACTGAGCCCCCCAAGTGCATGCTTTTACATACTTTTTAAAAAATATTTATTTATTTGTGAGAGAGACAGACAGAGTGTGAGCAGGGGAGGGTCAGAGAGAGAGGGAGACACAGAATCCGAAGCAGGCTCCAGGCTCCGAGCTGTCAGCACAGAGCCCAACGTCGGGCTCGAACTCATGGACCGTGAGATCCTGACCTGAGCTGAAGTCGGACGCTTAACCGACTGAGCCACCCAGGAGCCCCGCTTTAACATACTTTTTAAACTGAGATTTTGTTAGTACTCGCGTGTTCCCCTTGACCTTCACGTGAAGAACAGAAATATTTGAAAGACTAACCATTCCTTAAAACTGGCCTCGAGTACTTTTCCTGTGATATACATTCGAAACGTGCATTTGTATGTGTTTCTCCCTGAAGGAGTTTTCATGAGGAAAAAAAGTATCCTTCTCGATCACATCCATCTACTAATTAGCTGAACTACACAATACTCGTGGGCTGGCCCAGTTCTGGGTCTCTGTATACACTGTGGATCCGTCTTTGGCAGGAAAAGACCCCGCATTTCTAGAGGCAGCACAAACTAATTACACTAGTTTATCTCCCATCACCTTATCAAACAAATAACCAAAGAGAAAATACCATGCTAGAAAAAGTACAAACACATGACGCTCTCGATTTTATTTGCCAATAATCAGACCTGCAGAGCCACGGCGCACAGATGGACCGATTTCTGCCTCCGTGAATTTCAAATCACCTCTTACAACATCTCTCTGGCTCTGACGAGCTAGTAGTTATTCCACAATCTGTCGGCTCGTGAGATTCAGCACCGAGCCTTTCCTCTAAGTTCCTGCTTCAGCCTCAGCCATGAACCACGCATTGCCTATAAAATCTACTTAAAAGAAAATGAAGTTATTCTAAAACGCCACACGGCAGAAAGAGCTTACACATGTATGCGAGGCTGCCACCATCCAGCGACGCCGGCCTTTGCTGTCACCCTCAGAGGATGCCCGGAGCCCGAGGGCCCACAGCGACAGTGTGCGGGAAGGAGCACAAGAAAGGAGCGAGTGTGTTCCCTCAAGTGACCGTAGGGGTGATGGAGACGGCACTTCCTCTCACACGCAGGCTGTCTGTGACAGATGGGGTGTATCCTTCTCTGCTCTCTGCCAGTGGCCAAGGCGCAGCTGAGAAGGACCCGCATAGAGAGGGCACTCTGGCACACAGCCGTGTACATCATTTAAAGGATTTCGACCAGTGCATGGGCTCTTGTCCGTGAGGCCCTTTTCATGGTATCTTATGTGAAAAACCAGACTTCTGAGTTTATAGCCCAACAGCCCACAACAATATAAGGAGAGGCTTTTTCTACCGAGCATATGCACTGAATGCATTGTAATGTACCACTTCCTGATACCAAGATCATGATATTCCAGAAACAGCAGTGTGCACATCAATGACTCTTCTGACTTTCTTTATTCAAAAATAAAACAGGCAAAAAAAAAAAAAGAACTAAAATGTCCAATGTCACCTGAAATAGCAGGTTCACCAAAGCTTTAAAGGTAAACTTACATTTTAGGGTATTAATTACAATTACTAAAGAGAGAATGAATTGTTTTTCAAACCATGTATCTCAGGAAAATGCTGACCGGTGGGGCAGGTGATCATTTCACCCCCCTTTGTACGAGGGAGCCCACAGGTCTCAGAAAGTCTCCTGAGCAGCAGGGGCCGCTCTAAGGCGGCCCTCTTTTAGGTACAGGACATGGGCCTTTCCGGAAGGATGGACTGTTCCACGGGCACCTTGGCAAGGTCACCCAGCCACCCACAGGAACTTTTGCTTCCAGGAGGAAGTTGTGTGGATACATATGCATTCACGTCCCTCTTGAGTCACTCACAGTCTACCGTCTGGGACACATGGCACGCGGTGATGGTTCCAGAATACAAAGTGGGGACCTGGGGGCGGGGGAGGGACACACGCGCGCCCCTACACGTCACGCTCCAGGGCGCGGAGGTCCTCCAGGAGCTCCTGGGCCACGGTCTGCAGGTGGGGGTTACGGCTCTTGGCCATGGCCAGGATGCGCTGCAGGGGCAGGGAGCTCCGGAACTCGGAGGCAGACTTGGAGAAGACTTCCGGCTCCAGGACCACAGACTGGACGAGCCGCAGCGCATGAAGGCATACCTCCGCGTCGGGGTCTGGGGAGAGAGGGAGCGCTTCCGGTTAGAGGGACCCTCTCCAGGACGCGCAGCGACACCTACCCCTCAAGGGCTCTTGGTCTTTCTGAGGGCCAAATCCGACCACTTGGTAACTGCACACTCACCGGGAAAGTGTCCCTGCTTGACGTAAAAGCTTAGCTCACAAGAGCAACACAACTAACTCAATCACCATCCGTTCTAGTAACATCCATCTTCAAATATGATTCGCAGTCAGATCATTTTAAGATGCCAAACTAAAAATGTGAGGGCCTTTCGTGTTGTCTGCTAGAATTCTGTCCACTTCTAGGACAGTTTTGAAAGGTGTTACTTCAGGGGCACCTGGATGGCTCAGTCCATCAAGCATCGGCCTCTTGATTTCACCTCAGGTCGTGAGCTCGTGGTTTGTCTGGCTCCGCGCTGACAGTGAGGAGCCTGCTTGGGATTCTCTCTCTCCCTCTCCCTCTCTATCCTTCCCTCTCTCAAAAATAAGTAAATAAGACATTGGATGAATGAATGAATGAATGAATGAATGAATGAATAAAAGGTATTGTTTCATTTGCCCTCCCAGTGCATCAAATCCCACAGTGGCCACATACTGACGCTGAATCTCTTCAGGGCCACCGAGTTTCCAAAGTCACACTGTTTCCACTGTCCCTCCAAGGAATTCCCTCAGGAACTGCCTCTGGAGTTACAGAAGCTGGTACCCTGCACGTGTGGTGGCACCACTAAAAAGAGCCCAACACAGAGCTACAACCTTAAGCAGGTTGCATGCAACTCTCCTCCTACTTCTCCCTACTGGGAAGCTTTAATATGCCATCGAGTCACTTCTTGGTGGTTTGTTGTGGGTTTTTTTGTATTTATTTTATTTTTGAGAGAGAGAGAGGGAGACACAGAGTCCGAAGCAGGCTCCGGGCTCCGAGCCGTCAGCACAGAGCCCAACATGGGGCTTGAACCCACAAACTGTGAGACCATGACCTGAGCTGAAGTCAGACGCCCACCCGACTGAGCCCCGCAGGCGCCCCTGCCATCGATTCACTGTTGATTGAATATTGTAATTGGAACCTCTTTCCTAGCGCTATACTTAAACCTTTCAAGAAGTGAATGGATTGAAAGAGTGGACTCAATCAGTCCTCAGTGGGAAGTGCCACACACCAGAGCTGCCCAGAGGCTTTTGCTGTTGACCCAGGGCCCTCAGGGCATGGCGACAGCTGCCGTGCTGTACCCAGGAGGGAAGGCAACACGGCCTGGGTGCCGGCCGTTACAGCGCTCCTACTCTGGGGGAGGGGAGAGCAACTCTTCCTCGTACCAGACCCGCCAGAGACCCGGGGAAGAGCGTGGCTGCCACAGGGAAGCGTGTGCAGGGATCCCCGGGAAGGCCCCACCACCCAGACACGGATGGACAGAAACCGAACCGAACGGACAGAGAACTCCCCTCGTCCTCCAGCGCCAGTCTGGCAAACACCGGCGGCCCAGGCGAGCGGTCTACAGCCGGGGGAGGAGACCCCTGCGAACACAGATGCAAAGGGAAGGCCGAGAGCTAAGGGTGAGAAGAGGACACTGAGAAGACACACGGGGAGCTCGGCCCTCACCCTCAGCACAAGGAGAAGAGAGGAACCCGAAGCCAGCAGTACGCAGGAGGCAAGCACAGCGACGACAAAACCCACACCCTCCTCACCCCCACAGACGTCCCAGCACAACGAGAGGCCACGTCCGCAAGCCGACGCCATGACCGTAGAGCCGCAGAGCCCGGCACACCAGGCCACGCCACGCCAAATGCAGCCCGGGAACCATTTCTGTGCAGGCCGGGAGCGAAGAGTGATGTGTACATTTTGAAGAGTTACTTTAAAAAGAGAAAGAGAGGGAGAAGAATATGCAACAGAAACCACATGTGGCCCTAAAGCTTAAGATATTTACTATCCAACCCATTATACAAAACGTTTGCTCTCCTGCCCTGATACGACGTCCAACATCCAATCAGAAAGGACAAAGACCAAGCAAGGGAAACCAAACACCCACAGTGGCGATAAAGTAGTCAACAGCACCAGACTCACAGATGAGCCAGATACAGCAACAACTAGAAAAGGAACTGGAAATAAATAGGATTAGTAGACAGGAAAACACTGCTGTATGGGTCCTACGGCACACCTGACGCAGTGGTGTACTATTTAAAGATTAATTAAAGACTGTATGGAAACCCTAGGGCAAATCATAAAAAGTTTTTACAGTACAAATGATAAGCCAACGGTGTAGATAAATGGAATATTAAAATAATCCAACAGCAAACAAAAAAAGAAAGAAACAACTAGAGATACGTCTGCATTCCTTTCTGTACACAGTAAATGAAAACAGCATAGACACACCGATTGGAAGGCAGAGAAGGCACAAAACAGCAAGACCCTGCTATACGCTGTCCACAAGACACCCCAGAAAAATATAAGGACGAAGGTTAAACATAAACAAAAATATTTAAAATACGCCATATAAACACTAATTAAAAGAGGGCTACAGAGCCTATGTTCTTACCAGACACAGTAGACCTCAGAACAAGAAATGTCACCAGGACTGAGGAGTGACACTGCATAATTGTAAAGAGGTCAATGCCTCAGGAAGACAGAACAGTCTCAATTACGTACGTACCTAATAACAGAGCTTCAAAAAACACAAAGCAAACTATGATAGAACTCTAAGGGCAAATCAATTCACAATTAGAGTTGAAAACTTTCATGTCCTTATTTCCATTACTGATTTTAAAAGAGGAGGAAAGGAAATCAGTAAAAACACAGAACCTCAGAACAACCCAAACTAATTGAGTTTAACAAGGTCAGCATACAAAGATCAACTGTATCCACATATCAGTAACAGTAAACTGGAAACTAAATTTTTAAGAAGACTATCATTTACAAGAGCACCAAACCATAAAACATTTAGGTCTATAAAATCTTACAAAATATGTGCAATATTTGTATGCTAAAAACCGTAAGACACTGATGTAAAAAAAAAAAGATAACCTAAGTAAATTTGAGAGATAGAAGACTTAATATAGTTTTGATGTCAGTCTCCCCACTGATCTACGCCATGTAATCCCAAAATCCCAGTAGACTTGTTTGTAGAAATTAACAAACTTATTTGAGAAAGAGAAGGAACTAAGACAGCCAAAACAACTTCAAAAAAGAAAAACACTGAAAGATTCAGACCACTCAATTTCAGGACTTACAGTTATCAAGACAGCGTGATACTGATACAGGGATAGTCACAGAGATAAATGGTATAGGGTTAGAGAATCCAGGAACAGACCACAGTTTTGTAAAATCTCAAAAAACATATTAATACATTTTAATAATAATAATAATAATAATAATAATAATAAAATAATAGCCTTTTCAGGGTGCCGGGCTGGCTCAGCCGGTGGAGCGTGCGACTCTTGATCTTGGGGCTGTGAGATCAAGCCCCACATTGGGCTAGAGCTTACTTAATAATTAAAAAAAAAAAAAAAGATTCATCAGACAACTCATGGCTGCCTTAATGTTGATGTTTCATTAAAGACTAAAAACAACCTATCTTGACAGACAGCCAGACCTTCAAGGTCCAGTACACTCTCCTTGCAGCAAACAGAAATTCCTCAGAAACTTATCTCTAGCCTTGCCACTCCCTCCACAAAAAGTATATAACTAGTCACTTCTCACGACCCCAAGTGCAGTGCTTTCAGCTCACAGATCCTGTCTCCCTGCTTTAATAAAACCACCTTTTTGGTTTTATTAATTAATTAATTAATTTTAAAAAATAGCCTTTTCTGGGGCACCTGGGTGGCTCAGTCGGTTAAGAGCCCGACTTTAGCTCAGGTCAGACTCTTGTGGTTTGTGAGTTCGAGCCCCGTGTCGGGCTCTGTGCTGACAGCTCGGAGCCTGGAGCCTGCTCTGGATTCTGTGTCTCCTTCTCTCTCTGCCCCTCCCCCACTCCCACTCTGTCTGTCTCTCTCACTCTCTCTCAAAAATAAATAGATATTTAAAAAAATAATAGCCTTTTCAACAACTGGTGCTGGAAAAATTGAACATCCATATGTAAAAACAGAGAACTTTAATCCACACCTTGCCTCACACATAAAACTTACATGAAAACTAATAAGACTTAAATGTAAAACCCAAAACTAGAAGAAAACAAGACATAACCTTTGTGACCTTGAGCTTGGCAAGGATTTCTTAGATATCAAATGAAAAGCACAGTCCATCCAAGAAAGAAAATGACAACATGAGATACACAAAAATGGGAAGGCCAACACAAAAGAAGAGAATCAGCCTGGTGACTGCACTGGGAGGAAATACAGACTAAGAGAAAGATAATCAGCTGATGTGCCAAAACCATGCAGCGAGGAGAATAACACAGAACTCGGGTCTGTTCAGGCCACAGATCAGCAAATTCTGAGTTATAACTACTCAATTTATCCTTTAAAGGAATCCTGGAAAACCTTATCACCTGCGACTGAGAACATTTCTGTAGATGGCTCAATTATGAGTTTGGAGATGAGTGAATCAACCATAACGAGAAAAGGCATTCATCTGACCACAATGCAAAATGACACAGACGTGAAGTTATCTGACAAGAGTTTTTCAGCAGCCGATATTCAAGTTACTCAATGAGCAACCACAACATGCCAGAAGCATATGAAAAAAAAAAGGCTCAGCAAAGAAATCAAAGATATAAAGAATAAAAGGGAAGCATTGGAACTGAAAAATAACAATAACTGAAGTTAAAAACTTGACAGAGAAAGAATGGAAGGGACACAGGAAACAATCCGTGAAGAGGAAGACAGGACAACAGAAATCACCCAATCTGAACAGAGAGGAAAAAAGACGGAGAAAAAAAAGAAACAGAGCCCCTGGGTCCAGAGGGCCTATAAAGAAGATCTAACGTTCATGTCATTGCAGGGCTGGAAAATACCCAAGATACAATGGCTGAGATTTTACCCTATTTGGCCAAAGACACAAACTTACAGATCCAGAAAG